TGTGGTGTCTTTTTCGTTGATATACTGGGGTATCTAAATGTCGAGTTGAAGGCCACAGCAATTTATTTTTTTATTTTACCAAAATTGAGAGGTGTATCTTGAATAGTTTTAGATTGCTACAAATATATGGAAACGCTGATGGTCAGATATTCAAACACTAGTAAAAATAAATCTTGTTTACCGAAAGAATTTATTTTTGCTTTCTAAATTTTAGGAATGTTTCCTTCTTTGATAATATATTTCAAAAATAAATTCATGAAAGATATCATTTCTAACATAATATTATACTGTGAAATCATTAATTTTCGTGGGGGGGGGTAATTTTCGTGGTTTTCAAGGTATGAAGATACCCACGAATTTAAGTCCACTACAAAATACAATTGTTCACATATATTACTACTGAACATTTCTTCAACCACGAAAACAAATCCCCATGAACCAAAATATGTATATCAAACCATGAAAATTTGACCCCTCGAAAAGATGCGATTCTACAGTAGCCAAATTGCTCAAAAAACAACAAGCGGAATGTGGAGTGATTATTATGAACAAAGAAAGATGTAATCATGATGCAGGATTTTAGCAAAAACAAGATTTTCAACAGGAATAAAAATATCTAGATTTGCTTTTGCAAAGACGTAAATAGAAAGATTAGACATTAACATTGGATGAGATGGAAGAATCCAATGCCAAGAATCAAAGGGAAATATCCAAGGTTCCAAGGTTCAATGTGATAAACTCACGGTTTTACGATCAGGCTCATAAATGCACGAAATGTTAGTTGCATAATAAAAATAAAATTCGTTGATTAGTTTCAGAAACATGTTTTCTCTGCTTCATGAAAAAATCAGTCCACATTTCATCCGTACACCATCTTCTAAAATACATTGTCTTATATAACATTTTCCACGAATCCCATTGTACTTGGAAGAAATTGCAAATTCGATCGCAAGAACCAAAGTGTTTGCATGTTTTGACAGCTGATAGTGCACGGGGTGTAAGATATCATGAAAAAATATATATCTAATGGAACACATTTCGAGGAATGTGCCCATTAGCTTTAGCCAAGTCAAGTTTATGTTTATGAAAAACTGATTTATGAGAATCTTGTATGTATATAGTAAAAATCTTGCACAAAAAGTTTTCTTTTTTTGAACGATATAAAGGACTCTCTATGAAATACCTGATAAAAGATTTAATGAAAGTTATTTTGGCAGCTCGTAGGCTTTGAAAGTCTGGACTCCTGAACATGAATATTGTAATTTCGATATGTAAGTTTTTTGTCACAATGTAAATTGATTGTATTTCAAATGATCAGTAATAATAAAGATTTAAAGGTATATACAAGTACATTATAAAATCAACTTTGCTAATCCTGGTTTCAAAGCCAAAAAAAAAAAAATCAAAATTTAGTTTAAATATCATACAGGTCCGACGTAAACAATTTTCTTCTTAATTAATGTCCAGGAATAGCCGATTTTTTAAGCAAATGCAACAGTGATCGATCTAAAAAAAATCCGTACATAAAACAAATATATGAAAAGGGCAAAAAACACGGATTTCTTGGAATTCCAGATGTGGGATTGGGTGCCTAGGAAGAGTAAACATCCCCTGTTGACCGGCCGCGCCTGCCCTGAGCCCTATGTATTGATCAGATAGACAGAACTTTCCATAGTCAGGTCAGTATAAGAACAAAGGCCTAGTAATTTACATGAAACAAATCAGTCAAAATACAACTTAATTTTAGGTTATTTGTTCTAACAAAGTCATTTTAATGACCATAAAAATTTACAAAATGCAGACTTTAAACTAGCTGGTTATATCCCTGTAACATCAATTTATCTGTCAGTAGAAGTCATCGCTTTGGAAATTGATCGTACCCAGAGCCAATTCTTGAATAGCGTATAAGTTGTAAGACATAAGCACCATAAGCAAGTAATACTGGAATTTTACTTCTTGGTCCTTTTCATGCTGCTCAGCACATACAGCCTTCACCAGAGATTCCGTGGTGGTTAGTCTTGTGTCCATCTCTGAACCTGTCATCGTGATCAGTTGTTCTCTTGTATTTTTTTTTCTCAACCGATCTCCCCTGGGTCTCTTTTTGTCTTTCCCATTTCTCTTACCGGTTCGTGTCCATGACCCTTGGGGTGAAGGTTGGGTTCATTCCTACAAATGTGCACTATCCACAGTCATTTTCTTTTAATCATAACTTGGGATAGCGGAGTGGCTTTAGTCCTTTAATAGAAAAGCTGAAGTCTTCTTGTTTGTCATACAATTTAGTCATTAATTGACCTCCATCGTCTATAGTCAGTATGGCATCCAAATACAAGGCGAACGTGGCAGACTCTGTGGTGTCTTTCATTTCGAGTTCACTGGGATTTATAGAGTCGATATAAGAATGAAAATAACTATTCTAATTGAAAAAACAACGTTGATACTCGTATATCTGAATGTCAAATTGAAGGCCATAGCAGGCGTTTTCCTCCTCATGCAGAAGTTTTTGAATAAATTGATTAAATTCTAGTTCATATGCATATCTAAAAAAATAGGCAAACAAAAGGAGCAGAATTAATACCCATCCGTACTGCAACAGTTTGTTAGTAATCCTAGTCTCTGAAGACTTCATTAATGTTATCAATGAGGAACTTGATCAAGCGTGCATTAAATTAATATCAAGTTCGGAGCACTTGTGTGAAGAAAATCGGAGTGGTTTTAGATGTGAGAATTTCCGAGTTTCGTTTTTTATTCAAGAAGCAGTTGTCTATGATATTAAAGCGTCTAGGTTATAATTTATCGTGAGGAATTGTGGTATAAAGTATATTTTTTTTACTATTAGAGTTTTGATCTTATAGTTTTTTGAAAAAAAAATTGTAATTTCAAAGTTTCTAAATTTGTTTTTGAGGATCCACATCTTATTTACACTACTTCTAGAATAAGCTGTAGCACAGTACGCCAAAGGTTTCCCCTTTATACTTTTGCAATAACTATAAAAATTGAGATTAGCTAGCTGGTATAAGCCTCCCTGATTTTGCTTAACTTACAAGTATTTGTTCACTATAATCAAGTCAAACTATTCTAAGGTAAAATCGACGGTTAAGCGAACATCTATTGTATAAATTATAATCAAGATAACTTTCAAAGAAAAAAATGATTTATTTAGGTAAATTCAAGGAATCAAATCTATAACTTGAATTTCCTAGACCCCAAATCAATGTCGCCATCCCTTACATCATAAAATTTACCCTGATTTAATTTGTGTTTGTAAATAGTTTTGATTTTTTTACGTTATAGAATCACTGGCAATCTGCATTCATTGTGAAATACTAAAACCAAGATCCATAATATGGCTATGCCTTTAAAAGTAGATTATGTTCTTTCAATGATGGAAGAGATCTGGCGTTCTGTAGTAACAGGTGCGTCAAATGAAGAACTAGCACGCATAATCCGATCATTCTTGATAAACAGCAGTGCTATATCATACGACCCATCAGGAGAAATTGTGACTTAGACTTTTACTTACGGATGCTATTAAAATCGATTACTTAGCGAGTGAACAATGATTAACATTCATGTCTATAAATAGCTGCAATGTATTGATCCGCATAAGATTCCTTAAATTACATGTAGGTTAATGAAACCATCAAAGTCGTTCATATTCTTTATTTTAAATATTTTGCGCGTGATACCATAGGCGATAAAACGGTTTTCAGCATCTTTCGTGCGCTTTATTATCTGTGTTAAAGTCATTGTTCCCCCAAAGCCTTACATTGCTGAGAAACATAATTCGCTCTTCATTGTCATTTATCATATAACATCTCTTGCATGACAACATTTAGATTATTTCAACATTTATTTGTGATGGTATGTGATTTATTTTTTAGCCACTGTGTTTGGAAAAAAGAAAAGAAGAGCAAGTTTTGTATCGATTTATTTTTTCTTTCTCGTCAAATGTTTCAAATTGGATACAACAAATGATACCCAGTATCAACAACAAATGTATGACAACTTTAGTATCAGACAATCCACAAGATTATTTCATACAGTAACTCCAAAATTCTTCACTTTTTGGTAAATAACATCTCAATTGCTTTGGAATATTCAACTGAAATACCTCGTAAAAATGTCGAGTTTTGTTCTTTTTTTCTCTGTTTAAAAATGCCTTGTGTGTTAAGAATTTCTTCATTTTATATGCAGATATTTACATTTCGAAAGGAAAGTGCTACAATTTCCAATTGTCTACATTGGATCAATTTCGTGGCGTGTAATTTTAATTTGAATCCTCAATTCAACCTTATATCCTTAATATACCAAATTTCCAAGATCCTAAATCAATACTGAATATCGATTTCCGCTGCCAAAATAGCGCTGGTCTGACAGCTTAAGAGACTGCACGCAATAAAACTCACCACTAGATATGCAGTGCCGTGTTCCAACAAGGGTTTTACAAAATATATAATTCAACGACTGAGCCAAAATATATCTTTTCGGAGAAGAAAACAATTTTATTACAAATTTCAGGTAGGTAAACCGTTTGAAACAGCTAAAAAATTATTTTGGTCTTAGTTGTAAGTTTTTTTGTAAAACCGGAACACTGTTGTTCTATAACATATTTTCGACCAAATCAAAACAATACGGGAACACCAGGAAAAGCATCGAGGTCATCATGAAATTCTACTAAAAATAGAAAATTTATATCAATGGCATATATAACCGGGGATCACAAACAATTTATAAAAATCAAACAAAAAATTACATTAGATGTGTGACATAACCTGAAAAATTAAAAATTAAAATAAAAAAAAAATAAAACATTACAAAAATTATATGAATTAATAGAAATCAGCCGCAATTTTTCTCACATTAACAAGAACATTTAAATAACCAAAACTCTACAATATTTAACAATGATTAAACCATTAAATGGCAAAAATATATGGTAGAAATTACAATAAAAAAAGTAAAGATGTAACTTATAATAATATTTATAGTTTGATATTTAACAACGATAAATTATTTTACTGGAAAAATAGGAATTCAATTTGACAACATTCAAATTCACCATAGATATATAAAGAAACACTTCTAAACATAAAGTTATACGACAAAAAATAATTCCAGTATATTTATTAATTAAATAGATTATAATTAATTAATTTTGCATAAAAAATAGAGAGATAAAAAATAAACACGAAGTGAAATCTAATGAAACGCAATGCTCGGATTTTTTTTAATGTTTTACAGATTGCTTCGCGCAATGGCGATATCTGTCACTATTTCATTTTTTTCCCTGTGTGTGATATTTAAAAGCGGCATTTTTTAAGATAACGAAAATAATAAAATTATTATTAAAATACAATAAATGAACATTGAACATTTAAAGTTTGGTAATTTATAAATACAATGTACAACTATGAAGAAAATAATGAAGCTTGGATTTCAATGACAAAAATATGGAGTGATTTTAGTATAAAAACATTAAAACACCATCAGATACTAATAAATAAGTCATCTGATTTTCTGAGGTATTAAATACTCATGTCAAAAAAACATCGATGTTTTGATTACTTGCCACATCGTTTCTCGTACCAAATAGAAGTACTTACATGTTTAAATCAAAAGACGTGAAATACAACATCAAACCTGGGTAAAGAAATAAATAACAAAATTGATAACAATCAATAATTTAGTGTTTTGGAAGAATCATATGGAATGCTTTCCTTTACACAACACTGAAGAGGTTTTTATCAAATGTCAAAGTGAGGTTTGAGACACCAGAGGGCGCCTTTGTCAGGACCGCTGAAACACGGCATTCGGGTTGTGTACCAATGAGGTCAAAGTTGTTGATGTCGATGATGAGTGCAGAGGTTTCTCGAATGGCACAATGTCAGATTCAATGCTACTTTGGTGTACAATGCCTTCTCTGGTAAACACAGATTCGCTCCCTCTTCTTGACAAAGACATATTTATACTTTCTCGACTTTGAATTTTCATTATAATTTTAACTTCTTGTCTAGCTAGTTTGCTTCTGAAAACATACACTAATGGATTACAAGCAAAACTCATCATTGCTAAAAGAATTGATATCGTTTCTAAAACTGGTGGAATATCTTGTGAATTATGCACACTCGCTTCGAGGATAATTATAATAAAATAGGGCAGCCAACACACAATGAAGGTGGACACCACCAATAAACTGGCAAGAGCTGTTCTCCACTCATCGCGGTGCCACAACAGTGAGCCACCTAGCCGACCACCACTGGTGCTAAGCCGGCGGTGAAGAATGGGTGCAGTGCTGCTTCTTCGCCGCTCACACCTAAGCGGGGTTTGAGTGGAGCAAGGTTCGTCCACCTGGTTATTCGGGATAACGCTATTCCTTCTCGTCCGCTCGCTGTTGTTTTGTGCAGCCTTGAAGATGACATGATATGCCCACAAGATAATACAAAGTGGCAGAATGAAAGTCAGCATTACTAGAGAAAACGTGTAATACCTTTCATCTTTTATTCTGCTTGACCATAATACCGTGCATGTACCTTTATCTTTCTGATAACGGTAGTGGTTCCATCCAAACAGTGGGGGCAGGGAAACCAAAACAGCAAGGATCCACACAGCTGCTATTATCAATAGGGATCTCCGTTTGGTTATTCTCATTTGATAGTGAAGCGGTGTAACAACAGCACAGTATCTGTCCAGTGAAATAGCCACAAGGGTTAATGTACTGGCTGCAAAGATAGCGTTCATTAAAAATCCAGTGACTTTGCACCAAATACTTCCAAATATCCAGTCCTCAGCGATTAAAGCACCAAACATGAACGGCATGACAAAAATAGTGTTCAGGGAACTACAAATTGACAAATTCAGTATAAATCGATTCGATATCGTTAATAACGCTGGGCGTTTGTAAAATACTAAAAATACTAATAAATTTCCCGCAACACTTGCGATGAAAATGAAAAATAGAAATGTGGCAGTTGATGCAATTTTAAATATTTCCATAGAATCTCTAGAAAACTTTGTGTCATTGTCCTGTTTACTGAACGAAGAATTAGCCTCAGCAACTGCCATGTTTCGTTCTCCTCGTCCAACGTTTGACTGCTGTCTACAGAACCATGGTGCGGTCCTTTCTACTGCGGATTAGTTTTCCAATAAATCTACAGATCGCTACTCGCCTGGGAGACGAATGTAACAATCATTGGATCGTAGTTATTCCGAAGCGCGTTCGGTCCAATGCCCTTTTGCGTTACCCAACACCTTGCCTAATAAAAGTTTTCTTTGTCTTTCATTTCGCAATGTTCATTTTGATTATTCTTGATAATACGATTGCTGATAATTACGTTTCTGACCCGTTCTTTCTCGTCCTGATCTTTGTACATAGAGCTCTCGAGAGAAAACTCTTCATATTTTCCATTTGAAACATCAGTAGGGTCTATTTTACCTGAAAATAAGTTCCAAATATTAAATAAAATCTTCAGCACTTTTATACTTGTATAGAATTGGTTTGACAGAAACTTGTAACTGTTCTTGACAATATATGCAAAGAAATACATCTGTAAAGAAGTTATTGAACCCATGTTAGTAGAAATTTTAATATCGGTGACGTCTTCGGGGAATGTTGACGAGTTTTCATAAAGAGAAAATGTTTAAAGTACATTATTTCATTGATATAATGGTTCCTTTTTAAGTATTCTTATGAGCATCAGTTTTTGTCTCAGATTCTTTTATTTTAAAGAAATAATCTCTCATTGAAAGTATATATAAAACCAACAGTTAAATTTTAAATTACTTTATTCTGTACGTACCACATGGAAAAGCATCACTCACTCCATTTTATATATCATTTGTATTTCATTTCATATGAAACATAACACTTATTATGATAAAGGCATCTTAATGTGTGGCAAAAACAGAGTAATTGCTTCTGGATGATACATATACTCCGTGAGCACAACAAAGACGGCAATAAAACAGTTGTCCAGCGTGCAGTTTCACTGTTTTCTATTTATAGCAATTGATAAACAAGGATTAATAGATCCGTTTACCAATGTTGCATTGTTTCGAAGGATCAAAAATTACAAAATAGAAATTTAGACACGAGGTTAAAAATGGTTAAACAAAAAAGAATGTATGAAAAAGTTCTATCAGTCTCTTCTTCAAAAATGTGTAGCAGTCGGGTATACAAACATTTTAGAAATAATTGATTTACAATGATGCAGTTTTTTCAGAGAAATGCTTTTAATCAATAACTATGATATAAGAGGATAATTTAATCCTTTTCGATCAAAAATCAGTGGAAACACCCTTTTTTCCATGGTACGATAGTATTGATTTCACACAGAACATAGGAGAGAGAGAGAGAGAGAGAGAGAGAGAGAGAGAGAGAGAGAGAGAGAGAAAGAGAGAAAGCGACAGATGGGTATAAAGCATAAAAAGATAAAAGAGAAGCAAAGAAAGTAAAAAGGTGAACAACTGCAACATATGTTCTTTATCCTCGTAAACAAGGATATAAGAAAAGATTCTTTGTGAAATTGACCAAAACCTTTAAAAAAATCAGGGTCATTATTTGGGACTGACAATAAAAAAAGTTCTTTCTTTCTTTATCGTTACTTGCAGCAACATACAAAATATCATATACATTGTATATTCGATTCCCGAACAAAAAAAGTCACCTTATCAGTTGTTTTAGATTCATCTTAAACTCAGAATTCAGTCTTATATAATACAAAGGTTCGGTACAATTTCTAATTCATTATTTCGACCCAGTTCTTGTTATCAGATATACTTATTGCATGGTAATTAACGAGGGCACCTTCGACTGAATAATTACTTTTATAGTTATTGATCACATGACAATCATTCAATGTCTGCCAATGGACCCCAGTGAGAGTAGCTTGGTAGCAAGTGAATACAAATGAAGTCTACACGATGTTTTCCTCTTATTCTTTTTACAATAAAACTGGCTTTCATATCTAGAAATTAAACATGTCAGAAAGAAAGAAAGTAAGAGTATAGTGTAAAAGTCCGGCATAGTTTTTTTGGATTTCGTTGGTCAAAGCACTGGCTATCAAACCGTTGGTTAAAATTTCTTATCCAGTGGTCAACTTTTAACGATTGTTGATGTTCTTCTGAATTTATCTGGCACTTATTAATTTCGCTATCCAGTGTTTTGAGCAATCCAGTCAAGGTTTCTAAGACAATAAAACACTCTTTCTCGATTCTTCCATCAATTCATACAGAAAATATTTTCAATTGATCTACAAAAGGATTCTACATTAAATGTTCGGTTTGTTTGTCATGTAAATATCTAAAAATTCTACACCTTACAATGTATATAAAATCTCCTTAATTCATAAATCCACTAAATTTTATTCGCAAGGCAATGTATCATTAAGATTAACATACAAACTGTTATATCCCTATTTACGCACTGTTGTCTACTGAATTTTTCGTTTAAGTATGTATTTAGAGGTCAGTGTTTGCTCTACTCCCCATTTTTATGGCTTGAGGGGACTTTTGAGCTCCACTACTGTTCGTTATTTCCATTATTATTTCATCCAGTTTTATCTTACTCTATTATTTTTAAGGTAAAATCATGTTTGATTTAATATCTACATAGTTCAACCATGCCCTTAAATTTCCAAAAGAAATATACGTGTACGTATGTATTCTTTTTTTTTTTTGTTTCCAAAGAATAATGAAGCTTTAGATACATTTTGTGAAAGAGGGCATCACCTAAATAAGGGTTTCAGCTTTTTTTTTTACAAGGTATGGTATAAAGTGGAGAGCGGGAAAACAAAAGAAAGGGCCCCATTTTGTTGTATTGCTAACTAAAGACATATTTGTATACTTCTTCGTCACGGCACAAGAACCATTAAGTGAAAATGGAAAGGGGGATTATTTTTCCCACTTCTCTTTAACAAATGTTTTCAACACTGTTACAAAGTGTGAACCTCCAGAGAAAATTTAGATGTGGGTAACTAACATATCTTAAGATGATCACTTTCTGTTTCAATGAGCCAAGGTTTTTCAATAATAGGAGCATTTGTTTCCATAATAGATTTGTTTTCAGTTGTTATCATGTTCCCGTGATGTCAATTTTAGTCTCTATTAAGCTTTGGAGTAAAACAAAAATACCATACAGCAACATTATCTTCAGATGGAATATATTTGGATACAAAACCATAGGGAATGGAGTATTTCGTTCTTCAGGGAAAAAATCGAGAGCAGTCTGTTTCAAGCAGCCTACATCTATCACTACACTCAGGATAAAGATATTCAATAAATTAGTAACACTTATACATTGCATTCATTAAACCAGCAGTATATATGTACAATTGAATGAGAAATTGATTCAATGTTCATACTACAGGCACTTGTTTCTGTAATAAATTGTTCAAATCATTATATTGTCTGAAATATTTTCTATTTTTATTACTGACTACATATTTGTATTGATAAATAGAAAATATGTCAGAAAGACCGTATGATAATAATAAAATCATTATATTATGGATTGTAAGTGTCTGTGGTTTATGCCTGTAGGTTGATTCAAATAAGCTGTAAATTGTACATGTAACATATGAGTATAGTCTTAAATCAAAGCCGACTTTAATTTCAAAGATTTATATATTCACATCCATTAATATATTTTCTCTTATTTCTACAATGTCTTATTTTTATAAAATTTATTGCACCCCCCCCTTAAAAAATGCCCTTAATAGAGCCTGTTAAGATTTTTTTCTGCAATCGTTATCCCCGGATTACACAAATAGAACATTTTTAAAACTATGAAAACTATGACATCTTAGTTCAAATGCATGTATGTATTTTACCAATTTACAAATCTTAGATCTGCATTATATGATCTATAGCAAGAAGCATGACCCACGAAAACGCGTGCAGAAGGACCATAATATTCTAAAATTAGTATTTTTAAATTAAAAAAAGCCATCGTTTTTTAAAATCAGCACCACGTTGTAATAAGAATGACAGACCAATATTTCAATTAATACTTCGCACTGTTAAATACACAAACACAAAAAATATTAATAATGCCTCATTTTGCTTCTGAATATGAATAAAAATTAATATTACTCTAATTATAAAAATAATATCGAAAATTTACACCCAACACTTATTCTCACCAAACGTGTCTCCTGGTTGGCTGATCCCTCTCTGTTGTTTTATTATGTGCCATGTTTAACACCGGTATTTATAAACTTTGACATAGATTATAGTCAAGCTATTTAACTAAATTGAAATTAAGCAAAAGAACCAGTTGATATCATCAAAGTATTAGGTAATATATACTATGATTTATTAACGTACCATGCTAATCCTTGTTAATCCCTTAATCCTGAGATCTGATCTCACGCAGAAAAAGTGATGGGCTTCAGTTCATGTTCATAGGTTGGGTTAGACAGAAATTAAAAAAAGAGAACGCAAACTCCCTAAGATTGTTCTACATCAATTAGACGAAAATGCAAATGAATTAAGGAGATCTAGACCCCTCTTATAAAACAATTTCTTACAATAATTTTGATATTTTGGCTATCGTCATATTGTAATTTTCCATTTTTGTATAAACTACCACAAGACATATTTAAAAAAATAACAAAACAATATGACACCATGCTAAAGATATGATTCTATCTATAGAAGTAGTTTATATTGTATAGAATTTCATTTTTTTATGAATTCTATCGATTAAAACATTATTAAGCATAAAAGGGCTAGGTCTTCTTAACACATACAAATATCATGATTCATGCAAGGCACTGTGCATCGTCAAATGAAATGGTTCCAGAGGATGCAAGGTTTGAAATTGAGGTCATTGCTTTTACGAGGTTCTTGAGAACAATAGTTCAATAAATGAATGGCCGCGGCATGTGTAATATTGTCAAATCTAGCACTCTCTTTCCATTGATCAATAGCGGCCATGGAGTTGACTGCAAATGGCTAATTATTGAGGATTGTCTTTGAGTCGAGTCAGCAATATTTATCTGGTGTCACAACTTCCTCTGAAGAGGTCAGTCTCCTTTCCGGAAATGTACAATAGATTCTCCAAATTTAGTTTTAAACTTTTTCGTCACTCTAAGTTGATTTTACGTAAAAATGAAATGTTAATAATACACACTTAAGCTAAAAAGAAAGGGCTTACATGATTAAATGAGTTAGAATTTGGATTAACCTTTTGTAATAAAATACATGTGATCTATCATGTAAATAAAATGATCTAAGATTAACACACAAATGTGGAAAATATATATATATATATATGTATTAAGCTTACTTAACATGCTTAATATCTACGTATCCGAGTAACTAATTATAGCAGTTTTACAAAACCGATAACTTGCATCATTCGACTGTTTATCGAGAGTACTCATTGACAACATACTGTATTAAGTCTTTTCATAACTTTTTTTAAGCCAAATA